TAAAAATTAAAGGGGTAAAAGCAAAGAATAATTAAAAAAAATAATAAGAAGAAAAAATTCTTTTATTTTTTATAGGGAAGAATCATACATTAAGAATAAAATAAAATAAAATAAAATAAATGGATTGAGGAAGAAAATGGGGGATGAATGGTCTCAAATGGTATACGGCTTGGGTAATGGCATGCCCTTCACCACTCCACATAGCAAAGTGCGGTCTGGAATGTTGTACTCATCTCGGAGCGAGAGTGCTGGGGACAGGACACTGACATACAGTTGTTGCCCCAAGTAACGGTTTTCTGTCAGCTCAGACCTCAAGTTCCACATTCCACAGTTGTCGAAGGTCAGAAGAATGGCCGCCCATGACTTGGGAAATACTTGGATGGTGTGCCTGCTCACCGCATCAAGAAGATTGTAGTTGGTTCGCTTTTCTGGAGACCATTTCCCAGGCTCGATGCTGCAAACCACATTAGACAACACAACAATTCACTACCCATATATGCCATAAGTCATTGGGGGAATGCAACAATTGTATCACTAATACTTACGCAACGGCAAAGAAGGAGTAGCCATTCAAATGCCATGACTGGAGCCTCTTCTCATGGTTCTCAAAAATGATCTCCACGAAGTTGCGGTAGGTTGCATTCAGAACATTCGGAGCCACAGTGATGGTGGTGGAACCTTCTGGTATTCCCTCGTCGGTAATCGCGTCGTACTTGAACACCTTCTCAGGGACTCTGAAGTATTCCGCAAGCTTCAATGGAGTTTCGGGTTCGACATGAGAGACGCCGTTGATGGCATATCGTAGCTTACCGTCGACATTACCGAAGGAATTGACGAGCTTGATGGTGCGAGTAATGTTGATGGAACCATAGCGGAAGGAGCCTTGGGGGTTAGGCCTAGCAGCACTGGCAGTGAGGTTCCATCGGAAGGTGCGGAACTGATTGAGGGACCAAGCCCAACCCATGGGTGCCTCGGGGAGATCAGAAGAAGCAGGACCCTTGCCATTGGTGTATCGAATGATGGCCTTACTCATGTGAATGGTCTTCATGAACCGAGTGGACGCCACCATGTAATAGTCTCCGAATGATGGCCTTACTCATGTGAATGGTCTTCATGAACCGAGTGGACGCCACCATGTAATAGTCTCTGGGCTCTTGGTTGGCAGTGACCAAAACAGAGAAGCATTGCCCCACGTGGACGTCCAGGGATTGGTAATCGTTTTGGACCACGTGAGAGCCCTCCATCTCAACAAGCTTCATGGGATGGTTTTGGATTCTGAAGTTAAGCGATGTCCTAAGCCCCACGTTGCAAATCCTGTACTTGTAGGTCTTCTCGGGCTTCATGGTGAAGAGCGGCTCGTCACTGCCATCGCCCTCAAATCCTGTACTTGTAGGTCTTCTCGGGCTTCATGGTGAAGAGCGGCTCGTCACTGCCATCGCCCTTTGCGTTCTTGCCGTTGATGAGGATGCCGTCGGGTCTAGCCAGGGTGCGGCCGCTGTCCAAGAGTTGCTTGAGAGCGGTGTGGCTCTTGGTATACCAATCGCCAATGAGGACGGTGTAGTCGTCCTCGGAGTTGCTTGAGAGCGGTGTGGCTCTTGGTATACCAATCGCCAATGAGGACGGTGTAGTCGTCCTCGGGGTCAGCATAAGGGACGGGGATGAGTAGACGGCTGTTGATGCGGAGGCCGCCGAAGCCACCGGCGGCTCGGTGCATGGCGGTGGATGGGTAGTAGAAGAAGCTTCCGATCTGGTCCTTGACCTGGAAATGGTAGGTGAAGTTGGTGCCAGCAGGGATGGGGCAGGTGGTCCCGGGAAGGCCGTCCTGCCAGCAATTCTTCCTGTGCTGGATGCCGCTCCAGTGAATGAGGAAGGGCTCGTCGAGGTGGTTGAAGATGTTGACGACGACGTTGTTGTTGGTGGTGGAGTTGATGTTAGGGCCGGGGAACTCGCCGTTGATGAGGATGCCTTGCTGCGGAACGCCAAGCGGAGAGATGGTGCCGTAGGTGACCTTCCAAGTGAAGAAGAGGTAAGGGTCTTCGGCGCGGACCGTCCAGAGCGATGCAGTGGAGAGGCAGAGCAGGAGGGCAAACAAGAACAACCCAGAACCCATTTCGGTTCTTCCTCCGCTTTGGAACTTGATATTGATGCGTGCTTTATTCCAAAATCACCGCCGTCCTTCAATAGCTGCAGCCTATGATTCCCATAAAACGCCTTGCCTTGCCTTTCTGAACTTCTTCCCTGATGGCTTACCCCTTGCAATGCTCTGTTTAAATACCCATTCCCTCTCCCTCTTTCCCTCTTTCCCTCTAACCTTCTCCTATTTTGCTGCCTTCCTTCCTTCTCCGCCTCTCCTTTCTTTTCCTTCCCAATTTACTCTCTCCTTCCTTCTCTCTTCCTTTCTCCTACTAAATTTAATATATAATCATTTGACATATAAAATTGATGGGTTAGTTAAATAATGCAAAATATTACTTCTATGTTTATGATATATATTACTCATGAGAAGTACTAAGTATTTCATTTATGTTTATCATATATGATAATACATCATAGAGTCCTGAGTCTTGTAAGGAGTAGATAATGTTACATAATTAAGATTACATGAAACGTGTTATTCACGCATGAATAATTTCATTTAACCTAGCCCGTAACCATTCCAATTTAAGCTTACTTACAGTTTTGACCTAAATTGATTTCTTTCGACTTTCTTTATTTGATCATCTATTAAAACTCTGTCTTAATGTGTCCAATTCCCCTTTATCGATTGAAAAGGACTCTTTGATGATCCAAAATGGTGAAACGGATACATAAATGCAAAACTGAGTCATTGAAAAGCTGTTGAGCCAATCCGAACCAGGGGGATTCGATTAAGTGAGCCACTTGTGCGCCTTGATTCGAGCTAATCCAAGGATAGGAAAGTGGATTGGATCATGCCTAAAGGGTCAGGTCGTGCGCTCTCAAAGCCACTGTTGGTGGGCTACACGTGCATCTACGTTAGAAAAATCATGTTTATCATGTATAAAAATAAAATGAACTATAAAATTTATTTTGATACACTAATTTTTTATATATTTCTTATAATTCCTATGTCAATTTTGTATCTAATAAATTTTTTAAATTTTAAATTATAAAATATATGAGTGGTTAACGCTTTAAATCTTTTTTAAAATTAAGTTATTTATTATATATAAATTTGTATTTTAAAGTGAGATTTTTTTTAAAAAAAAAATTAAAAATTTAAAAAAAGGAAATTCCTAAACCTCCCCTAATATGAAATCTGAAGCCCTAAACCACGAATCAAAAAATTCAAACTTTCAAACAAGAAAATCATAAACCCTAAATATTAGATATTTCTTAAAATCAGAGATTTACATCACAGGATTTTCAAAGCCCAAACAATTAAACTGGCGCATTAAAAGAAAAGGGGTTAATGATTTAGCGCAAAGCAGCAAATTAGGAAATTGTTTATTCCCGATTCCCAATCCGTCGCGGAATTCTTCCGCTTCGATATATAGATACAATCCAAGCCACCGCGGTACCGATCGACTTCCGTTGATTCCGGCAGCGTTTTCTTAGACCCACCGCCGACTTGCAGCAGTTCTTCCTCAAATCTCTCTTTTCAACGACGATCAATCGCCTCCTAAAGAAATTCACACTAGAATTTCCGCCGGCAGCAATATGATGCTCAGAATTCGCAGCAGAGATGGCCTGGAGCGTGTCGCTGTAGAGAGTCCACACATTACAATCGCTCAACTCAAAGCGATTATTCAATCTCAGCTCAAAATTCCAATCCACAACCAAACCCTCTCCACTAACCAAAATATTCTGTTGGCTAATGCTCATGGCGATCGTTCGAAATTCATGGACATGTCTAATCCTAATACCCTCCTTTCCTCTCTCAATCTCTCTCATGGCTCTATTGTGTATCTTGCTTACGAGGGGGAGCGCACTGTTGCTGGACCTTCCATCCATCCCGCCGGATCTTTTGGCCGTAAAATGACTATGGATGATCTAGTCGCTAGGCAGATGCGGATCACCCGTCAAGAAAATCCCCACTGTGAATTGGTTTCGTTCGACAGGGATTGCGCGAATGCTTTCCAGCATTATGTTAATGAAACGCTAGCCTTCGCCGTCAAACGTGGGGGATTTATGTACGGAACGGTGTCGACGGAAGGCAAGGTCGAGGTAGATTTCATATATGAGCCGCCACAGCAAGGGACTGAGGATAATTTACTGTTCTTCCGTGATCAAGATGAGGAAAGATTGGTGGAAGCGATTGCTGTTGGTTTGGGGATGAGGAAAGTTGGGTTTATATTCACGCAGACAATTAGTCGGGAGAGGAAGGACTACACCTTATCCAACAGGGAAGTACTTCAGGCGGCTGAGTTTCACTCCGAGACCGGGTTGAAGGAGTGGGTGACAGCAGTTGTGAAGCTGGAGGTGAACGAAGATGGGGGTGCTGATGTTCATTTTGAGGCTTTTCAAATGAGTGATGTGTGTATTAAATTGTTCAAGGAAGGTTGGTTTGAGACGGATATTCAAGAGGATTTTGATCCCAAGCTATCCAAGATGAAGAAGGACGTTGTTGTTGGTGTCAAAGACACTAGAGATGTTGACAATGATTTCTTCCTGGTGGTGGTAAAGATTTTTGACCATCAGGTTCGTGATCCCTTTAATTTTACTTATTAGATTACTTGATTCCTCAGCTGCTGCGTTGAATTGGGTGTGTTTTTCTCTTCATAATAACCAAAAACATGTTTCTTTTGAATGAATGTGATAATTGCAAAGATTTAGTGTCATGGGTTCATAGAATTTTTGGATTTCTATGATTTGCTTGTATTTTGGTTCCTTGGAATTGCTTTAGATTGGTTGAATAATTCTTGTTAAAGGGTAAACTTAGAGCGAAGAGTTTAACTTTTAGGGACAGGTTAGGCAGGAATATCCATTATCCCTTTTCTTTTCCTGGCTGCTGTTGATGTCCGGACCAAATCAGTGTCAACGATAATAGATTAGGGTCATATCGAGGGGTTCCATGTGGGGAGGTAAAGAATTCGCCTCTCATTTTTAGTTTGTTGTTAATAGAACCAATTTTTCTCTGGTCGGGAGACTGGTCTGGTTAGTCTTAAAATATTCGTATCTGTTTGTGAAATCATATTTGTTCTTAATGAGATAAGAGTTTTGTGATTGGTAACAATTGTGAACTTGTGATTTGTTGTAAGCTGGCCAAGTCCATTACTAGCAGATATTGTCCTCTTTGGACTTTTCCTTCCGGACTTCTCCTCAAGGTTTTAAAACGTGCATAATAGGGACCGTTACAGTTAGTGCTTTCCCTTGGTCATACTTCCAATCATTTGTTGTTAGCTTGGCTCCTTTTGGAGGTTGGTTTTTTGTATTCCCCTTGTTTCCTTCCATTTATTCAATGAAAGCCTTGTTTCTTTTTCTTTTCCCCCTAAAAAACATTTATTGTTTTTGGAATCTAGTTGTGGAAGATATCAAAAAATGTCTCTCCTTTTAGAGTTCTCTCCAAGGGTGGAAATACAACACTTTTCTTATCTGTTTTGAGTGAGATTCTGCCATACTTTAGTTCTGAGTTAAGGCCCCCCCTTCAACAGTAAGTAATAGGGAGGAGAAGAAGATCATGAGGGACTTTTGTAGGAGGGTGTTGATTATGGTGGGCTATTGATTTAGTAGGTGAGTTGGGTATAAGCGACTTTTACGCAAAATATCTATAGCATTTTCTTTCGGAACCTAATGGTTTGGGGCATAGGGTTATCGTAAGTATAATCCTCGTCTTCACAAGTTTGTGGGACTAAAGACACTTTTACGAACCCTCAAAAACTAGCTCAGTTGCCTACTTTGGAGCTTCCTTCTCAGGTTTTTCAAATTCACTGCCGGATGACTCAATTTTCCAATTTGGGAGAACTATTGTGTGGGGGATAGTCCCATTCCTTTTCCTCATCTGAACCATCTTTCTTCTTTGAAGTTTGTGTCTGTGGCTTTTGTCTTCTTTTCTTCTGTGTGATTCCAATTGGTGCAATTCCAGTAGTGTAATTTTGACGTAAGCATTACATTCTCCATTGGTCGCCTTTTGTGTTGGGCTTCAAGGTCTCCATTTATGGATTTTTAATCCTTCGAAGGGATTTTATTGTAAATTTTTCTTCTTTCTCTGGTGTAATCCCCACCCCTCCAAGTTCTTTTCATTCTCTTCGCTGTGGAAGGTTAGAATGCCCAAGAAAATCAATTCTTTGGCTTGGTGCTAGTCTTACATGGAAGGGATTAGCACTGCTATATTTGGAGACGTTCTTTTATGTTGTTGGGGCTGTGTGGTGGATTATATCAAGATGAATGTTTTTAGGATCTTTATTGTGTGATTCTACGTCAGCTGGAGAGGGTAACGAAGTTGGACCACGAAGGTGTGGATAGCGAGATCCTACATCGGTGAGAGGAGAATAAAACATTCTTTACAAGCGTGTGGAAACCTCTCCCTAGCAGACACGTTTTAAAAACTAAAAAACCTTGAAAAGAAATCGAAAGGGAAAGCCCAAAGAGGACAATATCTACTAGCGGTGGACTTGGACGGTTACATTTATCTTAGTTCTATGAAGCTGTCAGTTTGCACATTTGATTTGAAATAGTTTTTTCTTTTAGACATTCAATGTGTGTTTATCTTTCAATTGATATTTGATGATGGAGGTCTTGTTTCTCCCGCGGTTTGAAGCAAAAAAAGAACCCCTCTTGCTTTGTCAACATTTTCATAAGGCATTGCATATCCTTGGGTTAGGCGTGGGGTATTTGGAAACTACATGGGTTCTTGCTCATGACTTCATAAACATGTCGGACCTTATTTTAGAAGCTACCCTTATATTATTTTCTTGTGGTGAGATCACCAGGAATCTATTGAATAAATTTTATTGTCATTGTAGTTTCAAGATGTTCTAATCTCCATATGAACACACTATTTGTTGATCGGCCTCGTGACGACCCTACTCTATACTTGAACTGAGAGCTTTAAGTCCCATATGAACCCACTATTTGTCGATCGGCCTTGTCATGACCCTACTCTTTGCTTGGATGTTCTTATGCTAATGAAATCGTTGTGATGCAGGGTCCACTTTCTACGACTTTTCCCATCGAAAACCGAAACGTTCCAGTGACAATGAAGG